GATAGTCCGTATTATATCGCTGCCGGCTTTCTCAAATTGTTTCCTCTTGGACAGGGCGACTACTGGGCGCATGTGTTTGAGCGCCGGCAGAACGACGCAGAGGTTCCGTTCTGGGAGTGGCTGCAGCACCTCATGCGGCGCTCCGATGGCCGCTTTCAGGCGCATCCGCGCTTCTATTTCTTTGCTTTGAACAGGGCTTTGCGCCAGAAGGCGCTGCGAGGGCGGACATATTTTATGACGAGGCAGGTGGGCATGAACAGCAATGTGAAACATACCAATGAAGATCTTCTCGCCATGGGCAAAGACAATTTTGTTCGTTTGGTGTCGGCTTTCGAGCACTCCTTGGCAGGGTCTGCACAAGAGAAAATTCATCAGCGCAGTGACTTGGAAGCCATGGTAGAACAAATCGAGCAAATGTCTTTGGAGGATGAGGCGCAAGAGCTATTGCAGTGTTGGAGAGAAGGCAAGGATGTCATGCAACAGCTTTCTGGTGAAGCAGCTGCCGCTGGCGAAGTGGCAGAGTTGGAAATGGCGTGCGCCAAAGCAGAATCATTGTTGTTTCAAGTCTTGGGCGAAGAGATTGTTTGTGGAACTACGACTGCTTCTGGCACTGGAAGCTACGCTGCCGAAAACGCGGAAGAAGGTTGTGCCACAGAAGGAGCTGGTCTGGCTACGTCATCGCAGAATCAAGGTGATGCGAGTTCCGCATCGCGTGCCAGTGCGGGCCGCGGCGCGGAGGATGTGGCGAGGGCACATGAGTTGGAGCAAGCTTTACTTTGTCGAGTGAAACGCTTGGCTGCAGGAGGTGAAATTCCATGTCATTTTACTACATTAACCACAGCAATTTATCACTGGCAAGATTTGGCCGCTTGTTTAGAGATGTACGAAAATGCGGTGCTTGTGCGCAGGCACGGGCGACGAGATCCTTTGGAGCCTTCAGAAAGAAATTTGGATCCGCACCGTCGCAGGGTGCTGCGATATCCGGGTGTGGTTGCATGGTTTACGGGCTATAAGATGGAGCTGTTCTACAAGTACGTGCTGCAGTACGAAGACGGCCAGGGAATCTTCGAGTGGGGTGCAGGCGGCATCATGCATTTGCATTCCATCAACTTTGGATCACAGATGCCGCGTGTTGATCCCACAGCACCAGAGATGGAATTCCCTAATGAACAGTCCCTTCACATCGCGCAGCAGTTTGCAGCTGTGCATGAAGAATATCTAACTGATTGGAGTTTGGGCAAAACAGAGAAGTGGAGTTTTCAAGAGGTTGAGAACGGAGTTGCTCGCAGGGCACGTTGCTCATCGCCTGTGCACACGGACTCCGAGTCCGATGGATCTGAAGATATCGAAGAGGATGTTGCTTGCGCGCCAGTGTGGGCCGCAAGTAAAAAGACTCCAAAGATGGTGAATGATGTCTTCAGTCAGCAAGAGATGTTGCCGGACATGGATTTTGTGCGTGCTTTTGCTGATGGAGTGTCGATGTCCTACGAAGTCAACGCCGATGGTTCCCGCAAACGAACGCAGTTACTGGCCCATGGGCGAACTGAACGCGTGCTGCTTGGATCACCAGTGGCACCCGTGCCAAATTTCAATTGCCCAGAAGCAATTGCTCATGACAAACAATTGTCAGCTTGTGCGGCGTGCTCGCCGTAAGTGGTATCGGAGGCTGACAGACAAATGCAATATGCACGATCGTCACAGTGGTGTTGGTGTGGAGGTGCCGGCCGTGTATGTCGAAGTGCAACAAGAGAATCTTGCACAGCCTGGTGCAGATTCGAATGCAGATGTCAGCTCTGCAGAGGTACGTGTGACTTTTGGAACGCTGAACATGCAAGTGAAGAACCCGGAGGATGGTTTTCAAGACATACTTAGCAAGTGCGATATCTTATGCTTGCAGGAAGTCACGCCGTCGTGCGTTGAAAATTTGTTGCAGATTGCACGCAGCCATGGGTACGAAGTGGCCACAGCCATGGGGCGAGGAAGTGTCAGTGCCGAGCCGTTCGATGTTTGCATGCTGCTAAAGAGTGCCACCATTCGCAAGTTGCGCATGTCGCAAGAGTGCCACCGAGCCAGTATGGTAAAAAAGGGACACATGAAGAATTCAAGTTTGTGAAGAAACTGGAGAATGCGAATCAGAAGAGGATGGGTGCATGGGTTGTTGGATGTTTCCTGTTATGTGAAGTACTGTTTGCTCCACACTGCAACGATGTGTTTATGCATGATAGACTGAAGGCCAGCATCGATGTCCTATCTCTGGTTTGACGTGCTTGCAGCTGTTTGCAGTGATGGCTTCCAAGGATAAAGTACAGTAAGAGAAGTTGCACGGAATACAGTTAGTTCATGCCGTGACGCACATAACCTTGCTATACCTCCATGTCTCTACTTACTGTATTACACGACAGGAGACTCATATTGCAGCTACGCTCTGCTGTTAGAGGATCGCTTTGCGACCGTCCTCGTGCGACAGTGCGGTCCACGAGGGCAACCACCATGGCTATCGGACCTTGCGACTTCTGGCGGTTGGCAGTCGATTTCGAATTGCTGGATCTCCATGCGCTCAGCAACGTGAGCGCTGCTTCGACAGCTACGAATGCATGTGTGCTGCAGAGCGCCAACCTTAGAAACTTGCTGCAACGCAAAGTGGAAGAGGAAGGAAATTTGGAGTCGCAAAACTTGAGTATTGACATTGGATTCGAAGAAATGGCAGCTCTCAAGCATAGCTTGAAGATTGCATTGCACGTCTACGACGCGTTGCAAAATTCACTATGCTTCGCGTGCAGACGAAGTATCCCAACCGAGGAGCGCAGGAATATTGGTTTGGGTTACTTCAAATATGGACTCTGCGCTGGTTGTTTCGAAGCCTTGACAACTGTTTGCACGGAACAAGACGATACCTTGGCAGAACAGCGCTGCGTTGCCCTGACAGATGATGGTGTGCACGCTGCGGCCATGTTGTTGAATGCTTGCCGAGCAGGTGCAGGATGTCGTTTGTCGCAAGCAGATGCAGCTTGGGTCCGCAATGTCATTGCGGATAGTGAGAACTTCTTGCCTGATTTGCTTCGTGAAGTGCCATGACGGCCAACCAGGCTTCCAACGTGATAAGCTCTCCAGCCTTTCGTGCCAGTGCGGGCCGAAAAGCTGCCAAAAGCCTAGACGACCAAGTGTAGCGCAGAGAAAAAAGCAGCTGTCGAGCTTGGACTGCGTGAATCTCCTTGACAGGTAACAACTACACCATGTTCACACTTGCCGTTGCGATTTGATGCAATGCATCAACGCTTGGCATTAATGACCTCAATATTGTAAATATTTTATGGTCTACGCCTTTTGGCATGTAGAAGAATCAACATGAGTTACGCTCAACCTTGCTGACGTGCAGAAGCGCCGAGAAGAGCTCAGATGAGATGAAGTGTGGAGTGTGAAGAGTGCAGTGTGAAGCGTGGGGCGCGAAGAGTGCAGTGTGAAGCGTGTGGCGCGAAGAGTGCAGTGTGAAGTGTGAAGTGTGGAGTGTGAAGAAAGCAATGAGAAGTGAGAAGTGTGAAGTGTGGATTGGGGAGAGTGCAGTGTGAAGTGAGAAGTGTGAAGTGTTGACTGCGAAGGGTGCAGTGTGAAGTGTGAAGACTGTCAAGTGTGAAGTGTGACGTGGGGCTTCAAGTGTGACATGTGAAACACGACGCCAGTTTCGCAGAGTGCACGCACGCACGGGCTTGGCTGGCGCACGGCGCATGCAAGTTCTATAGATGAGAAAGGTCTTATATATATCTTTAAGGCAACTTCCGCCCCGCCTCGTGCGGGTACTACTGGTAAGCAGTTATAACTAATAAATGGCCATACCTGTAAACCACTGGAGTTTATGGTAGATGTGGAGGTTTCCTGAGTCACGGGGGTACCCCCAGTCATAGTTCCTACATGTTCTGGTTGATGAACCAAGAATCATTTTATAGAAAAATGTAAATGAGCAGACAGGTGAACAATTTGGATCTGCACCAACAAAAACGCAGCTTCTATTATTTTCCATGTCTGGGAAAATGGTGATTTGTATAACTGGAATCAAGCAATGATTACTTGTCGGGTGTTTTCATTTATCGGTGTAAACCACCACAATTGGGGAGATGTTCAATTAACTACCAATAAGTGGAACATCAACAGCAATACTGGGCGATGCAACCAGTCATTTGCTCATTGGTGAGTTCATGCTTTTTTTTGGAAGTTAACCATGACAATTAATGGATGAGTTTCAAGGACCATTGCGTTAGAGATGGGTAGACATCACCTAAAAGTGACAGACACTTTGCCACCACGCAATTTCCTCCCTTCTTGCTAGTGACTACATGCAACTACAGTTATGGCCCGAAATACCAGTTATAAAATGTTAGAAGTACTAACAAAACCCCATAAGCCCATAGAAATAAACAGTTATAACTAATGACCATGGCCATAACTCTACTGGTGACATACTAATTGTTCTTTGTGAAATTCAATTATCCCCTTGGTGAATTTGAAGCAGGGCCACGGCCTGTGGAGGGCGCACGCGCGAAGTTCGGGTCAATTGTCGGCCCGAGGGAGCCGCCGCCCCCGAACCCAGACAAGAGGATGGAAAGCCGCCGTGAGGCGCACTGTCAGTAGCAGCCAGGCCAACAATGCTCCGGACAGCCGCAAAGAGAACAGCCGTCCAAGCCGCAAAGAAGAAGAGAACCTCAAGACCGGCCGAAAGGACCACGGACCCGAAGCATGGAACAAGCTATTGCCACATTTGCCTCAAGGAGGTAGGCGGCGGGGAGGCCGGGCGCTGGCAACATGTCAGATCCCCTGCCCACCTATCCTATCACATGTTCATTGGCCAACTCCCCTTCTGAATGCCAATCAAATGTCCATGTTTGCCCATTAAAAATCACCATTTTTGCCAGTGAAATCACGTGAAATTACCATATCTGCCGATTTTCACATGAGATCCTCACGAAGAATCACCAGTTTTGCCCTGCAGCCATTCGCTCAACTGAGAGGCGCGCGGTGATGTGGTCGCCTTCATCGATTGTCATTGCGCGCCGCAAATGCACTGGCACAAGGCTGGGTGAAAAAATATGGTTACTGCAGTTATGGCCATTTATGAGTTATATTTGGTTATTTCTATGGGATTATAATGGATTATACATTCTATAAATGGGGTGTTGTTAGCACTAAAAGCTGGTATTTCGGGCCATAACTGTGTACCCTCTGGTAAACTATAAATGGCTAAATGTCTTACGTCAATCACCATTTCTAATGTTGGCATAGCTATAGCATAGCCAATTATAGAAAGGGTTACCCTCTCAAAAATCTGGTGCCATCAAATTAACTGGGTCACTCTTGGTTAGATACGAACTAGTACACAGTACTCTTTTGCTATCAATGGTAAAATGTACTAACCAGATAAAATATAGTTTTTTTGACAGGCATCTAAGAGTCGCCATTCAAACATAGCGAACTGGAAAATCACAATTTCTAATGCGTGAATCAACTATAAATTACCATTACATAACTAAATAGCGTTGTTAAATTACAAGTGGTGATCGTTCCCCAAAATCCCAACGACTCATTTTACTCCTGGGTATTGTGGATTGTCACTCGTATTGTGGAGAAAATGGGTTGTTTGACTTTCAGGGAATGATAACATCTGAGGCTGGGATAAAGAGTAGTGTTAGTAGCAACTGGATGCAGCAACCAATAGCAGGGCTGTTTACTGCAAGTGATTCAATGGATGATAGTGGTTTTTTGATGGCTAATAGCGTTCAACCTTGCTTAATGTGACGCTTATTTATGGTTAACAGTGAATAGTCCCATCCCCCTAATATTAAACACCCCCCACATGGTCCCAATTATGTGGAAAATCCCTATTAAACCATGGTTTCGTTTAGGGGGTGTTTAATATTAGGGGGATGGGATGATTTAACAACCATGTTTAACCATCAAACAAGGGGGGGTTACCAACTATCCGTTGGATTCCGGGAAGTATTGCTAAGCTGTACGTAGTAAACAACCCCAAATAGAGGTAAAAGGTCAGGCCCCAAAAGGATAGTTAAGCTGACTTATGATTTGGTTGACCTTTGGGTTTATGGGGATATAACTATAGTTTTCATGGGGTTTATAAACCAACATTCACATAACTGCGGTGCACCACCATACGTAGCTTGTCCCACAGACAGTCGCGGAAGATGTGGTGGATCGACCCATTCATGGAGATCTGGATGTGGGAAATTCATGGAAATTCTGGAAGATCTACCAAGCAGCTTTCAGAGTCACTTGGATATGTCCTCTGCCATCCACTGCCATATTTAAAGGCTGATTTTCCACTGCTGGATCATCTGGATCTGGAAGTTTTTGTGACTCATCGCTACAAAATGTACGAAGAGAAACTGAAGACTTCGATGATGTATTAGTTTTAGATGAGATTTGATAAGGATTCTGCTGGTGGAATCCAAGAACTCGGATTTGTTTTCGAAAACATTGAGCCAGATGTTTTTGTGCAGCCAATCATGGGATATTATGGGTTTTTTGTAACCAGTGAATACATTGCTGTGATCTCTAATTAGATATTAAATGAACATTGGCATTGTAAATCAACAGGCCACATCCCCATGATTTGTTCCAAAATAAGTCTGTATAAGTAGGCTATCCTAAGGTTCTATGTTAATTTTCCTCATTTCAATGAACTGATATCTGATATTTGGGTATGACCATTTTTTGAGACAAACCCATCAATTTGAGCAACACATATGGCACATAGATGGCACATGTGGCAAAAACCAACGTTCCATGGGTTCGTTTTTTAACTCATACCGGTATCGAGCCGAACTCTAAACCAATCAAAATTGAGACAATAGAAGTCTAGAATGGAACCCAAGAAAACTCGCTGCTTGCCTGTAGATATTGTTTAAGGCACCAACATTATCCTCGGATGATGACTTTTATTGACTAATATGTCAGGGTTGCTGCAGTCCATGGGTCAATGATAGCCAAAAAGGAGGGGAAATAACCTCTTGTAAACTAACATAGCTATGGAAAATCACCATTATTAATGGGAAAACTCACTATAAATGGCCATTTTCAATAGTTTTTGTATGTTTACCAGGTCGGGTAGATCATTTTACCTTGTAAACCCCTCTTGTACAACTGGGGTGTTGGGAGCAACCCTGAAAAAGCTGAAGGGGTTTTCGTAAGATGGGAGACATGGAAACCATTGATTTCCAACAATGCGTGCATGATGACTTTCTGAGGAGCTTTAGTAAGGGAACCAACTGTCCAATATGCACTGTTGTACGGAGATGATGGCAAAACGACAAATATGTATTTCGCCGCCATCGGTACTAGACATAGCTTGTCCAAAAGCAGCATGCTTCCGTCAATCGTTTGCAGCTCACCTGAGTTCACTATGACATTTGTGGACCAGCTGCAACCCACAGCAATGTCATTTCTTGTGAAACACTTGCACCATCTTGCGGTTCTTGAGCCGTTCGACCTCAGTGCAGTCATCATTGCATCGCATCGCCATGCTGCACCTGCGTTGGATCTATGCGCTGTGCGCCGTCGCGGCAGAGGCAGTTCCTTGTTGGTTCCATCCAACTTTGACGACGTGTTGGCAGATGCATGGCTCACAGATGGCCTCCGTTCCGCGAAGAGAAATGAGGTCATGACGGATCCATCAGAAAGGACGGTGAATGGTAGAAGGTATATCTATGGTTGGCTTTACAAAGCAACTGATTATCTGGAGGTACCACCTTGTAGTTGAAGTTTTACATGTTTTTACAACAAATGTCGCTACAATCCCTGAGGGGAATATCATCCGTCCTAGGAATCCCTGTGTCAATCGCCGCACCTGACACCCCAGATGCCAGGAAATTCTGGAACAAGTTCGAAGCTGGAAAGCACATTGGGTGTGTCTGAAAATGGATATACTACGATGTAATGGGGATGTATATACTGGTACTTGCTGATAGTGATTAATGCTGATAGTGATTAATTGCCATTAATAGTGATTAATTATTAATCAATAATGAACATGATTCTTACACCACCCTCCATTTATGGCTATGTTGTTCGCTTATTTGCAAAGATGTAGGCTGAAACCACTGGATTTTGGGGTTTTCTCCAATTTTCCTTGTAATTTCAGACAAAACCAGAATGGGGTTGCCTTTTTCCGTGCTGGGTGATCTGCTAACCATATGTCGATAAGTCCATGAAAATATTGATCTGAGTTTCCGGGGCACACTCCAATAGTAGGCCCCCCAACGATGGGATTTATGAAACCTGGTCTGGTTGGTGGTTGGTGGTTAATCCACACCATTCCAAGCCCGTAACTGGAGGATAAATCCATGTAAAACCATATAAATCTATATCTGGTTGGTGGTTTGGAACCATGAAATATCTCATGACTTCCCATCATATTAGATATAATGATCCCAACTGACTTTCACTCCATGATTTTTCAGAGGGTTAGGCTCAACCACCAACCAGATTATCATTAACCATTATTAACCATATAATAACCATATATTAACCATTGTTAACAGTATATTCACAACCAGCCATGCATTTCAGAGTAGGCAACGGGGTTTAGCCTTACCGCTGAGGGCTGGTTACCTGTTGCTCGGTGACCCAATGAAACATGACCGACCCAATAGACACACACATCTGGGTTAAACCAAACGTAATGGGATATAATTGATATTGTGATATATATATATATAATGGTGATTTAATAAGGATAAAACATGTATGTGTATGTATATATATATATACATATATATATATTATATTATATATATATGCGCGTCGGCTTGTTCTTGCTACGTTAATATGCTGTAAGTATAGAACATTCATCCAAAGAATGGCAGATGACATCAGATGTATCTGTGATCTACAGAAGTGGGATTTTCCCTCCCATGTTTTATAGTTTGATCGTATACCTTGTTGAGTTCGAATGGTCCAAGTCAAACTTTTGGAACCAGTTGATGAACTACTGAAGAAGAGTAACACCTCTGGTAAACATACAAAAAGCGAACTGGAAAATCACCATTTTTTATGGGAAAATCAACTATAAATGGCAATTTTCAATAGCTATGTTAGTTTACCAGAGGGTAACACCTCTGATTGCTCACTTTGACTCTAACAAAATTTCGAGGATCCCCGAATCAGGGTCTCTCAATGTATAGCATATAGTTATCATGTATTCTATATTTATCCTGGAGGCAATAGAATAGTTTTCAATCGAGGGAAATAAATCACATAATTCAAATAAGGGGAGATTCGATCTAGTTGAGGATTCTATAATATGGTTTTGAGAATGTTTTGAATCAACATCCCAAGGTGACCACAGATGTTGATCATATTTTGAATATCAAGAGTTGTGAGGTGCCTAAAAGGACCCAACCCCATCCTTGAAGATTTGCTTCAACAAATGTTTCAGGATGTGGGGTTACCATGATTAGGCCATCCAGGCCAAACTCCTTATCTCGAGCGCCGGTTGGACAAAATTCTATGGTATCAAGGCTATTTGGGATACACCTTATTTTGTAAGCTCAATTCATAGATCTTGTTTTTGCCTACGGCAGGAAAACCGTACGTGCGTTTTGCTTCTTTTTTGAGTATTGCTCTTTGTCTTGGGGTTGGGGCGGGGGGGGGGGGGGGGGCATGTTAACGTTCCTTGTACTTCGTACATGATATATTGCCATGTTGCTAAGATCTCTGGGATCTTTTACTACGTTACGTGTTGCTACGCTGCTGAGATCTCTAGTGTGGGTTGGGGTCGGGGTGGGGTGGGGTGGGGGGGCATGTTAACGTTCCTCGTACTTCGTACAGGATATATTGCCATGTTAGTGTGGGTTGGGGTTGGGATGGGGTGGGGTGGGGGGGCATGTTAACGTTCCTCAAACTTCGTACAGGATATATTGCGATGTTGCTAAGATCTCTGGGATCTTTTACTACGTTACATGTTGCTACGCTGCTGGTATCTCTGAGATAGTTTCCTACGTTACAGGTTGCTACGCTGCTGAGATCCTTGGGATCGTTTACTACGTGACATGTTGCTACGCTGCTGAGATCCTTGGGATCGTTTACTACGTGACATGTTGCTACGCTGCTGAGATCTCTGGGATCTTTTACTACGTTACATGTTGCTACGCTGCTCAGATCCTTGGGATCGTTTACTACGTGACATGTTGCTACGCTGCTGAGATCTCTGGGATCGTTTACTACGTAACATGTTGCTACGCTGCTAAGATCTCTGGGATTGTTTACTACGTTACATGTTGCAACGCTGCTAAGATCCTTGCTGCTGCTGGGAAGATTGACTCTCTGTGGAATTTGGCTAAAAAAATTGTGCCTAGCAATTTGCAGACAAAGGCAGGGCAGAACAAAGATGTCATGCTATACCTGCGTTGCTGGCAGTGGCGTTATGAGTGCCATAGTGGCAACTTGCTGTCGAAGACAGCTTCCACACTGACGGATCGCTGAGCCGACGAAGAGCGTGAAAAAAAATCTGCGCATCCACGTCTGATGCACATGATGTTTACCTGGATTTGTTAAAAATCAATAGATTTTGCATCCACTTTTTTTGACCCAAATTCAGTTATCCAAACTGATCGGAAGAGCATTTTATATTGTAAATTACAGGTGATTGTGACTCTCCTGGAAGCAACCAATCAAAACGCTCGCGCGGTTTCCCTTCCGCCGGGTTGTTTTTGGCCGGGTGTGATTTTACTACTGTACTTGTTATGAGCACATTCCACTTTTATCATCACTAAGTTCAACAGTATTTGAATGTATAGACTACTAATCATTCACTGATCAAAATGAATCATGTTGTTTTGTCTTATCATTCATGATTTTACATAAACATTCTGTAATTTCCTTACTCGTTTTTACCAGCCCGATTTGATCAGAAGCCCCAAAAAAACATCCCCTAACGGTTGGTTTAGACTCATAGTGACTACCATGTGGGGCCCCCCAGTGATGTTAGATGGTTTATAAACAGCATGAAAACTAGTTCGTTATTTGAGTATCATAAAACCATAGTGAAATTGGAGTTATAACCAACTGAACGCAAATTCGTCAACGGGGGCCCCACGTTGTAGGTCTGATGGCATTATCAATTATCCCGCCATGTTATTCATCAATGATTAAACCTTTACAAAGTGGGGCCCCCGCTGACGAAATTGCGTTCAGCTGGTTATAACTCCAATTTCACTATGGTTTTATGATACTCAAATAACGAGCTAGTTTTCATGCTGTTTATAAACCATCTAACATCACTGGGGGGCCCACATTGTATTGACGATGGTTAAAGCCCATTGAACACTACTGTGGATGGAAGAAATCCAGCATCACCTTGGATGATTGAAACTCTATAAACAATGGGATGTTTACCACCTATCAACTGGTGATTCGGATTTCGCAACCATCCACCGTAGTGTATCATGGGATGGCCCAAACTTCCATGTTTTTTCGTTTCAAGGAATCAATCCACGTCGCATGGTGGTCTCTGCCATCACGGATTTGGACATGGATACCTTCGATGAGAAGAAGGATAGCCAGGTGACCGAAATGGGTTGTCCTACTTGGTCAATGGCCATGCAACAGGAACCGATTTATTGGAGGTACCTACCATATATAAGGCATATTGTTCAGGGAATATATACCCAAAATATGGCCTAAAACATGGTACGAACGTAGCTCCATCTGTTGGACCCTGAATTTCCCATCGACTTGGTGACATGAGGATGTCCAGAAATGGAGGTAATGGGGGTTCCCCCAATAGCTGGATGGTGCATAATGGAAGATCCTATTAAAATGGGATGATTTGGCGGTACCCCCATGACTTAGTATGGAAACCTCCATACGAATGTGGATTTGTTGCCAACAAAATATGGTGATAAAAAACGGGATTAAATGGTCATCTAATGGTCATTTAGCTGGATTTAATTTTGATGGAAATCTTATGATGATTGATGGGAACCTTGAATTTGCTGAGTCGATGATCTGTTATTTTCCCAATGGGAAGTCCTTTACTTGGGGAGTCTATAGGAAATTGTTTATTTTTTTGTTTGTGTTCCTTAAGCGAATCCAAGAAAATGATGAAATACAGGTGCAAAGCATGGAAGATAGTGGTGACATAGTGACTGATTGTGGCTAATATTGACATTCTAACCAGCCAATTTCAGGTGATATCATCATGGTTTTGTCAACAAAATCTGGGGTTCGAACATCAAAAATAGAAGTAAAACCAACAGAACCAACTGTGTGGCGTAGCATTCGGAGAATCATCCAGTAGAGCATGCCGTGACTGGTTAGTAACTGGTGAACTACTAGCAGTCCAAGTAAGTGTTGGGGACGAAAACATGCCTAAAAATTCCTAAAATCTAACTGGGACGATATCAAGGAGGCGCCACTGAAGATTTTTGGAACTGGGGTCAGAGATCAACATCCCAAAGCAGTATGACTGTGGATTTTTTGGGGGGCTACACTGAAGATGAACGGAAAGTCAAGATTTCAATCCCGAGTAATTCAATATCCCATGATACTCCACATCAGAATCCTCATAGCATTCCTATCTTATTCCATATAACCCCATGGTGAGGCCCCCAGTTGTCAGTTGGTCTATAATCCCTATTACCTATAGTTATATCATGTTATATCTCCCATAAACCCTACAGAATGGGCCCCCAAGATAGCGTTCAGTTGCCTACCATAGTGGTTTAACTATGGTTTAGGGTAGATATAGCTACGTATAGTTGACGGGGTTTATAAACCAACTTATAACTGGGGGGCCTCACATTGTATAATTCCCACAGATGAAAGGATGCCGTTCTTGGAATGTTTTTGCCCCGTATACGCCATCATGTTTTTTTCAACCAACATTCACATCACTAAGTTGGTGCACATAACTCCAATAACTATGGTTCATGATACTCATATAATCTTATATAACTATAGCTAATGGGGTTTATAAACCAACTAACATCACTGGGGGAAACCATCCTGTAGTTTTCACCTTAAGTTACACGTCAACGTAGCTCCCTCTTCGAGGTGAACGCCAAATGCTACTTGACCTTTGCCGCTTGGCGCGGGGGAGATCACTGCGTTGGGAAAAGCGGAGCTGAAACTCATGCTTTTCCCGGTTAGGGGGTTCCGGTGTCATAATTTTCCCTTCAGAAATTTCGATGAGTATATCAGTATATCATAAAACGTCCATTTGAACAGGAAACATGATGATTCAACAGTGGATAAACATTGGTTTTCCCCTAAATGTTCAGGCAAACCCATGTTGAAATCGATGCTGGAGTAGTTTTTGCAGGCGAAAGCGGCCGCATGCGATGGATTGGTTACTAGGTACCAAGATGTTTGCCCCGCAATAGTGTTGGTGGTTTTGGAATAACCAATCCAGTAGCTATTGAACAAATTGCCCAAAGTCGTTTCACATGTTGGTAAATCTATGTACCCTCTGGTAATTTAACATAGCTATTGAAAATGGCCCTAATCGAAATAGTTGATTTTCCCATTAAAGATGGTGATTTTCCAGTTCGCAAACTGTTAGTTTACCAGAGGGTATTGGGGTATCCCTGTGATGTTGGCGGTACCAACCAATTGGACTGGACCGTTTTGTTTTTTAATGGATTGGATCAAAATCAACAGTTCACGATTTTGGTATACATTGATATACCAAAATATATCACCATTCTAGGGATAGAATAGTGGTTTCGAAAAAAAATCTCACATTCTGGTGTTTGGCTTGGCAACCCGGGCTCGAGTATATTGTTTTTGAGCTGGTGAATGTGTTGTTGGGGTTTGTACCAACGTGTTGGGATAAGCATGCCATATTGTATGGGCAAATAGGGTTTTAACTACAAAAGGGCCTGCTACTTATAAATTGGCTGCTAATCTTCTTCAATTATAGATCATATACCCGCCACAAGTCCAAGTTGCAGCAGTGATTAGCCAACACAAGTATATTCTCATTAGTCGTTGCTTATCCCTAGAGTTTTTTTGATGGCTAAACGATGCTAAACTCCATATTCAGTTGTTGGGGCCACAAAAATCTACAGGGTGGGGCCCCCAGCTTTAAGTCAGTTCATATACCCCATTGACTGTAGTTATATATAATGTGATACAATATGTATAATCTATATATATTAATATATATAATATGTATGATATATATTATTTATAATATATGTAATATTATATATGATATATAATATATAATATATAATTTTAAATATATAATATATAATATATATAATATATCATATATAATATATCATATATAATATATCATATATAATATATCATATATAATATATCATATTTAATATGATATATGATATATAATATATAATGTATAATACATAATATATATTCAGTTGACACCGCCCGCTCCTGTGACAGCTGCTTCCATGATTGCTTCGTACGGGGCCTACTGCTCAGAGAATTCATTGACAGCTCTTGGTCCCAATCAGCCACCGAGAACTTTCAACAAGGCAGAGCAGATGGGTACTATGACGTCGGCCATGGTGATTGCAAGCGGCATCACCATAGATTTGAGGAATGCTATGGCTGGGCTTTGGTCCAGAATCTGGCTCAACTTTCAAGTCTGTGCTTTGGCTATGTCAGGTCAAGTTGAAGCGACTTGGAGTGGCAGTCTTGCAACTGTCAACTAGTAACTACGCTGGAAGACTGGGGTTGGCAGCTTCGGACTACATTGAACGTAGTGCTGACATCACTTCAGGGAAAGTCATATATGTAGAAGATGATTTGGAAGTGTTGGGATTTTGATCCCTGCCTTATGGATTGCTGGCTTTCTTTTTTCCACGCTCTCCAATGGACAGCGGCAGGGGTCTCAACGAGGTTTTTCCCTTGTATTCCAGGTGATGTTTGTCCACCTTTCTTTCACACAAACGCATGCTTTTGTCCAGTTTCTTTGCATGCGCGTTTTAATCTGTACTTATCCTTTTCTCCTTTCTTGCCGTGGCTGTCAACAGCAACAGTATCATGGCTCATTTCATCTATCGATGGCAATGGCTAGTCAGTTCTCATGTTTTTTTTTTCAACTGACTGTCTGCTGCAAGCCTTCGGTGTCCTTTATGTTTGACTCGCCAACAGATGTGCCACATAATATATATATATATATATATATAATATTTTTATATGATATATAAAATATAATATATAATATATATAATATTACATATGATATAATATATATAATATATATAAAAATATAATATATAATATATACAATATATATAATATACAATATATATAATATATATAATATTATATATGATATATAATATATTATATATTATATATTATATATAATATATAATGTATAATATGTATAATATGTATAATATATCCTATATAATCTATAATATATATAATATATAATTTATAATATGTGATATAATATATCTTATAAAGTTATAATATATATATATATATCCCTTTTTAAACCCTAGTCAATCAAGTGCTAAACCAATTTAGTTATTCTTTGGAGGCCCATCGGGCCCGACCTGGGAGCTCATGACGCTCCAAGGATGCGGATTTCAAATGGTTTGACGATGACTCGGATTTTATCCCAACCATCAGCGCCTTGCCATGGTTGGTGGCCGTTGCGTGTGAACTCGGAGTTTTTTTTGGTGCCAAGTGCCACATGTCATGTGGATTGATACCTAGTATATCCTAGTATGCCTCGGGGGTATGATAGATATTATTTATCGATACTAAACTTGGGGCAGCACTTTGTGTGCGTGTTATATATATATATATATATGTATAAATGACAGAAAGACCTCACGTCCCGAGTCCCGACGTCACGGCATAAATGATGGTTGCTGCGGGTTTAGTGAATTACTGTCACTTTTCGAAACATATTCTGATGTCCGCCATGGTGTAGTAAATCTAAATTCAACAGGTTGATTTCAGGGATGTTTCTCAGGAATCCATGGTTGTTGCTGGCAAATGAAGGGTTTCCGGCTTCTTAGTTTCCTTCGAACTTAGCTATAGTCTAGGACAGTGATTCCCGCTTGACGAATGTTTTTGATTTATGGGCGCCCCCACTTTCAAAAGATGTCACACAAAGAAACAAGTACACCTGGAATAGAAGTTTCAAGACTTTCAAAACCCGAATTTCCTTAGATGGGTGCATCTGAAACTTGGGCACACACCCCAGTTATGATAGTTATTGCTATTGCTGCTCGTAGGAACATTATGATCATCCATCAATTTCCAAATTTTGGGTCCCACAATTGTTCCCAGCATTTCGGATGTAGACCCCAGGAGCAGCTTGGCGTTGACAGTATCACCTGCACCTCAGGTTGCCCAAAGCTGTGCAGGGAAAAGGCCTTGACTTGGACGCAGGATGGCATGGACCAATCCAAATTTAGGTGTCCTCGGAACAGCGTGAGCAAGTCACTCACTGATTGTTGGAGGCCACAGAAGGGCATCCAGGGTGTTTGTTCTACGATGCTCTCAACCGGTGGCAAGTACGACAACTACCATCTCCATGACCACCAGTACAACCGGAAATTGGTGTACAGGTTTTTGCGCACACGGGGTCACGTTCGATGGTCTTGGGAAATTTCCACCTGCGACCAAGACCTTGGCAAGGGCAGCGATGTGCAATGCACTGTCACTTCCCGAGCTCTGGAGGTCGGTTCGCATTTGCATTGGAGCTTTTCCCCTACATGTTCCAATAGATTTCTTCAAAATAAATCAACCTTTTTGGAGGTTTTCCAGTTTTCTCCCACATGTTCAGTCCCAAAAAAAAAGTGCTTCCCTTCCCCATGGCTTCGGCCCCGGGCCCAGGTGGTGGCCTAGTGGCCATGGGTCGCGCCTGGTTCAACTTGACCGGTGGCTTCGATGAAGGGATGCACGGCTGGGGTGGTGAAAACCTGGCCGCTCGGCCGCTCGAAAAGTGAACCCGGCAGCTCGAATTTGCTGGTTAAGTTGGTTTATAAGCCCCAGTAACTATAGTTATAAGTACCATAAACCATAGTGAAATTGGAGTTATAAACCAACTGAACGCTATCTTGGGGGCCTCGCATTGTAGTATTTCAACCACCAACTCACTTATGGTTTATGGGTTATAACCCAACTTAGGTACCACCAACTAACTTATGGTACCATAGTATTGGTTTATAACTCCAATTTCTTTTATGGTTTATGGTACCTATAACTATAGTATTCATGGGGTTTATAAACCATCTAACATCACTGGGGGGGCCCACATTCTAGGTCAATCTTAGATGGATGGCTAGAAACTAATCCTAACTAGTCACTTGAGTCTTTTGGCATCAAAGGGATTATCTACGTATGTATTCACCAGCTAAGATTTCTTTTTGGCAGGGAATCTAAGATTGGCATTGGTTTATGGGGTCAACCGACTGGTTACCCTCTGATAATTTCACATAGCGGACAATGACCATTTTAAAGAGGTAAATCATCTATAAATGAGCCATTTTCCATAGCTATGTTAAAAATTACTAAAGGGTAGATACTAACTATATAGTACTTGAATCTTTTGCTATGGTAAAATGTACTAACCAGCCAAAAGTTTACTTTTTGGCAGGTATCTGAGATTCACTGTATCTATAGCAACCCCAGGATGCTATACATCTGTATGGATGAATTGGCTAGTTGGAAAATTCCACCGTTTATAGAAGATATTCACCGTAAAACGTCGATGTTGTTCTTGGATTTGCCATTGCCATGTTGGATTGCAATCCATGTTGTTTTTGGATGGTTTATAAGGGAATGCATCTATAGATGGATGTTGACTGGGGGTACACCTATTTTAGGAAACCCCCATATAGCAAAACCCCAATAAGATGCAAGATGTTTCCAGGATGGTAGTTTGATGATATTTAAGCATCATAATTTCAATTTGTCCAACTTTTCGTCAGCTATTTTTTAGTAGTTGTAATATGGTTCGATCATACAATATGGGATTTTACAAGTTTGGATGGGAATGTAGACTAGAAGGTCTAAGAATGAATAAGGGCGGTTTACCATCAGAAATAGTGAGTATAACCAGCAATAAATGGAAATGTAAAAACTCCTGCAGTAAAACCATGTATTGTATATATCATCGATCTGCCCGATAGCGTTGGTTCAAAAGAGCTGAGTGCTTAACGGTGTTAGCTTAGTATTTCACCCCATTGTCGGTTGACCTGGTAAAATACAGGTTATCAGCCGTAGTCTCACTACTTTGCTATGGGGACCCCAATTGACCATCCTCTCGCCGTTCCAGGGTCAGGTCCACCGGCTGTCGCTGTGCCTAATATGGCCGGGGGCAACCCCGAGCCGATGGATGACGAAACAATGTTCCAACCCGTTGTTGCGTACTTTACCTTCATACAAAACAACCTGTCCCAGATTACTAGTGGGAATACCCTGCAAGTCATGAGGGAAGCTGAACAGAGGCACCTTCAGATAATGCATGGAGTAGTTGACTCAATTCGAAACGAATGGTCAAGTAGACTCGTAATGCAGGAGCAGGAGTATGAGCAAAGGCTGCAGGAGGTAGAAGGTAATGCCATTAGTGCCCTCAACGAGGAGAGGAAACGAGGCGACGAGATGGAGGTCAGGTTGAATCAGGCTCAGGCATCGCATGACAAAAGAATAGAGGATGTAAAGGCAGAGGCAAACACAAAGCATGATCAGAAAATTGCAGAGGAAAGGAAACGTATCACTAGTGAATTCGAAGCTTCCTATGCACAGACAGTTGAACATGCAAAGAATGCCATAGCTGCCACAAAGAAGCAATATGAAGATCAGGCTGCAATTGATCAGGCCAGGTTCATCAGTTTGAGGACTGAGTTTGAGAACTACAAGAAGGAGATGGCCGACAAGATCAACGAGGCAGCGGCTCAGAACCTTAGCCTTCAGGACCAAATCGATGATCTTCAGGAGCAGTTAAAGCATGTTGCCAAAGCGCAGCATGCCTCCGTTCCGAAAGCATCCGTCCAGAACGCCGAGCCGGCCGCTACCACTAGCGTGCCCCACTTCAATATTGCCACTCCCAAAGCATCCGATGCACAGGCTGCCAGAGGCAGTGATGAGCCGATTCTTGAGTTTAAGACGCCTGCAGTGTTGGCGCAGGAAGCAAAGGCCAAGTTGGATGAGCTGCTCAAAGGTGGCAGTCCCAAGCAAAAGCCGGCTGTCGGCAACGACCAGCCCCAATTGCCAACGCAGTCAGGGTTTTTCACTCCCACTGAAGCTATCAAAACTCCCCCAAATGAATCTCCTAAGAGCGCAACCAAGCAACAGCAAGTAATGGGTCCCTCAGATCTTATTGAATTGGTGAAAGCCTTAACCCAAAGGGAAGAAAAGGATAAGCCAAAAACTAAGGAGGCTGAACTCATCAAGCTGAACAACATGCCCGCTCCGGAGTCATATAGAACTTGGAAGAATCACGTCAGGGATGAAGTGAAGAGCTGTTCAGATCGCCCGGATGAGGCGTGGCTCTGGCTCAACGAGGTGTACGATCAAGAGTGCACCAGAGAGCAGTTGGAGAAGAAACTCCAAGATCCTGGAAAGTTCCTTACGCTGGATACAAAGTTATCAGCAGCGCTCACGCGCTCAGCCGGAGGGGACCTCGCAACTAGGATCTTGAATTTCAAGGAGCAGCAATCCCGAAAAGGCATCCAGGTCAGGGGAAGATATGTTCTGCTTATGTTTGAGGACTACTTCAAGACATCAGAAGAAGCAGGTAGCCTTTACAGAGTAGAAGATCTTTTGGGTGTTGTCAAAGTAGGCGATACTGTCCAGGATCTCCGAAGATTCATCAACAAATGGGATGCTACCCTAGCTGGCATGGCTGTCACCCCTGATGATGCTGTGTTAAGGGACATCTTGTTGAGGCAGATCCGACCAAGTCAGTTGCTGAAATATGACATCGAGGTGTTTGACCGTGCTCATGAGAAATCCCATGAAAAGTCTTACAGTTTTCTTCACCAATCCATGAAGAACTTGATCGATCGTGAACGATTGAGGGAGAACAGGAACCGCATTGCGGAGAAGAACAAGGCTGGGATTAAGGACACAAAGGCCGCACCCGCCAAAGGCGATGGTCGCGGCGGCCGAAAGGGCTCTCCAAGTCGCGGTAGATCGCAGGAACGAGGTGGCAAAGGCGACAAGATTTGCTATAAGTTCCAAAAGGGTACCTGTGATAAGGGGAAGAAGTGCCCATTCAAGCATGTCAAAGATGATAAATCTCGAACTCAATCACCCAGAAGAACCAAAACACGTTCACCATCAAGGGGCAATAAGGATGATAAGGGGAAGAAGATGTCTAAAGAAGAAATGGCTAAAACCCCATGCATCTATCATGCCCAGGGAAAGTGCAGACGTGGTGACAAATGTTTTTATAAACATGATGACAAAGCCGCTGCCGCCACCAAAGACACCAAAAGGGCCAATTCACCCGCTCCCAAGAAGAAGGGCAAGGATTCCACAGCCGCTCCATGTCTGATCCACAAGTTTGCATGCATCGTCCGAAAACAGCCGAAGGCAACTTCGTGCTCTGATGAGGCAAGTGTCAGCATGAAGCGTCTTAGATTCCGAAAGGCCCCACATGTGATCGAGGTGAAGGCAGTCGGTCGTCAAGTCCCAGTCAAGCACCGTCCAAGAGAGTTCACTAAGGTGTACAAGACAGCTGAAGATGTTCCAGTTTCATCGAAGGTTGAACAGCATGAAGCTCAGGTTCGTGCAAGACAGCTCCAAGAAACTGTGAAACTTCATGATTCAGATGTTGCACCAAGTTGTGGGTTTTGCTGTTGGGATGAGGACACACGTGACATCACATGCAAAGAGTGCAGGTTCATCAGCGGTCCCAAAGCCCTTAGAGACATTGGTCGTTTCCCGTCAATTGCCACAGCTGCGCCAAAGGCCGGTGTTAGTTGGCTCGTTGACTCAGGTAGTGAATCCGATCTTGTGTCCAAAGGAATGCTGAGGGATGTAAGTGCCAAGAACTGCCGTGCAGCCGAGCATCCGATTTCCTTAGTCACAGCCAACGGTTCGACTGAGGCAAACGAAGTTGCTGATGTCAAGTTGTCCGCATTGCCAGATCCCGTGCATCCGTATGTGCTTGATCATACCCCAGCTGTGCTCTCTGTAGGAACGAGATGTGTAGATCAGGGTTACAGTTTCGTATGGCCTGCCAATGGCAAACCAATCCTAGTCCGTCCAGATGACAAGGTTGTCCAGCTCAAGATCGAAGGTCATGTCCCAATCTTGGATGATAGTTGCAAGGTTTATCCCAAAGATCAATTTCAAAAGGATAAGCACCTCAAAAAGTTGTTTGCAATGCCGACCTCACGGTCGAGCTCAAAAGCCAAGCGGGACGAAGCCCAAGATGAAGAGCAGTTGGATGAGCTGGTGGAGGATGACGCTCAGCAGGAGTACATCCGAAGCCGCAAGACTGAGGATCTGTTGGCTGAAGCTGCAAGTACCCAACATCAGTACACGCATTTCCCCAAGAACCCCTTTTGCAGAACTTGCCAACGAGCAAGGATGATGGCACCTCAGGCACGAAAGAAGGGTGGTCAGAAGAGAATCGAAACTGAAGTGTTTGGTGACCACATCATTGGGGATCATGTCATCATCAAGAAAAATGTAGAAGAGGGTTTCAGGGGGGAGCAAGTTGCGTTGGTGTTGAAAGATCTGCACACCCAATATCGGTATGTCTACCCTAGCCAGTCCAAGGACTCACAAAGCTGTGTTGATGGTTTGAATCACTTCATTGGATCAAAGGATGATGTTCAAGTTGTGTACACTGACAATTCCCCAGAATTGATCAGGGCCATCAAGGATTTGGGTTACAGACACCAAACTTCCATTGAATACGTAGATTCATCAAAGTCTTTTGCTGAGCGCGAAGTTCGTCAGATGTTGG